ACACAGAGAAACAGTGTGAGGCTTTGGAACCTGATCTTTACTGTGACCTTGAGGGTTACAGCTGAAGGACACAGAGAGCCACAAATGAATCTCAGTGTTAGAAATCTGTATGGTGAAAAACCACTTTCTCCCCAAACTTCTTGTCCCTCATCGCCCTCCTCAGAGGCAGCTGTGGCCAGCCAAATTGCCGATATAATCTCAGCACTTGGACTCTACTTGTCATCAAGAAGAACAAACTGCCTTTTTCCTGACTGCGTGCTATTCCACTACATGCAAACTCCATACTGAAATATGCCCTGTGGCTGGGTATTAAGTTGCTGCTGTAAACTGTGCTGATGTGCACATCCTGACCTGTGTGTCCCTTTCCTCAGGTATTTGAGTCTGTGGATGAGGTGGAGCAGACAGAGGTGGAAGGCAGGTCAGAGGAGAAACAACCCAAAGTCCCCAACGGGAACCCGGCAAATGGCACTTGCTCCCCAGACTCTGGACACCCTTCTTCCCACAACTTCTCCTCCGGCCTCTCCGAGCACTCGGAGCCCAGTCTCAGCACCGAAGACAGTGTTCTGGATGCCCAGCGCAGCCTCCCCGCTGCGTTCCGACCTGGGGACAGCAGTGTGGAAGACGGCCAGAGCAGCGAAGCCACCACGTCCCGGGACGAGGCCCCTCGGGAGGAGCTGGCCGTGCAAGACAGTCTCGAGAGCGACCTCCTCGCCAACGAGAGCATGGAGGAGTTCATGTCCATCCCGGGCAGCCTGGACGTGGCCCTGCCTGAGAAGGACGGGGCCATGACCGCGGAGGGCTGGCCCAGCGAGACGGACAAGCACGGCCGGGCTGACAGCGAGGACAACCTCTCGGAGGAGCCTGAGATGGAGAGCCTCTTCCCGGCCCTGGCTTCTCTGGCCGTGACCTCCTCTGCCAACAACGAGGCGTCACCCGTGTCTTCCAGCGGCGTCACCTACTCTGTAAGTCACAGGGGGTCTTTCCCCGAGGAGGGTGAGACTGGCTCTGGCTTGTTTCCTTCTCCCCGTCATAGAGAGTCAGTGTGGAAACAGGCAGGGCCGCTGAGCTGGGGGCCGGGAAGTCTGGTTCCGTCCCTTCTCCTGGCTGTGGGACAAGTCCCCTCCCAGAGCCTCAGCTCCTTAGCTGCTCCCTGAAGCCTCCTGAGATGACCTTGGCCCAGGCCGACCTCTGCCCTCACAGACCTTAGCTCAGAAGCAAACCCACACTTCCACCATGATGTATCAGTCATCAGCTTTCCTCATCCACGCTGTGTAACAACCAATTACCCAAAGCCAACCAACTTTCGCCAACCAACGCTGGGCCCTACCTTGGCCTCCGAGTCTGTGGGTCAGCTGGGAAGCTCTGCCCCAAGCTGGGCAGGGTGTGGCTCGTTAGGATGTTGGCTGTCAGGGGCTAGTCTGTGTTTCCTCCTCTGGCAGGCTAACCTGGGCTAACCTGGGCCAGCCTGGGCTAGCGCTCATGGCCAAGGCAGATGCTAAGCAGAGAGAGCCGACAGGCCGACGTCTATTTTTAAGCCTCTGCTCTGTCCGGCTCACTGACATCACTGGCTGAAGCCAGCTGTGTGGCAGAGTGGGCAAGGGCAGGGAGGTCACAGGACAGAGTGAGTGTGGAGAGAAGGAAAACCGAGCCACGAGTCACACCTGTTGCTCTGGATGGACACGCATCACTAGTGTGGAAGCTGGGAGAAGGGTGGGACACAAAGGGTCCCAGTACCTTCTCTCCTATGGGTCTTTTCTTCGTTCTTCGTTTACAACCTTGTTTTGTCGGAGTGCACGCTATGGTGACTTCCACGTGTTTTACTTTTCATCCCATCTGATGTCACTGGTTGCAGGGCTGGGACCTTGCCTATTCTGCGAAGTTCCTTCTTTGTTTGTGTTTTTTGGTATCGAGTGTGGGGACCTTGGGTGCAGTTCATCAGGAACCATCCTTTTATGTTGAGTGTGTCTCCCCCCGGGCTGTAGTTCACCCATTCGGCCAGGCTGGCCAGCCAGGCAGCTCCAGTGACCCTCCTGGCTCCTCTTCTTCAGCTCTGGGGTAGCAAGTGTAAGCCCCAGGCCTGGCTTTTTTTTTTTTTTTTTCTTCTTTCTTTGAGACAGGGTTTCTCTGTGTAATTTTGGTGCCTGTCCTGGATCTCGCTCTGTAGAAGAGGCTGGCCTCGAACTCACAGAGATCTGCCTGCCTCTGCCTCCCAAGTGCTGGGATTAAAGGCCGCCGCCGCCGCCGCCACCACCCAGCTCTGGCCTGGCTTTCTTCATGGGTGCTGGGGGTCTGAACTTGGGTTCTCACGCTTGCCAGACAAGCCCTTTACAGCCACCTCACCAGCAGCTGAGGAATCTTTTAGGAAGATCCCCCATGCATGTTCATCCTGAGTGACTTTCCTTCCCTCATTCTGACACATATCCCTTTCCTGAGTCCAGGGCCACGCGGCCGCCATGGCTGCTCAGCACATATGGTCCCTGGTGTACAATGGTTCAACTCATGGTTTTCAACTTCACAATGGTGTGAATGGATTCTATAGAAATCCGACTTTAAACTTGACATTCAGATCTGTATGTATGCATGCTAGCGTATGCAGTATGATTTCTGCCTGCAGTATGGGGCGGTGGCTGTAGCTCCCCTGGACCACTCAGTCCTGAGGGGCCTTCTGACTCCTGGTGTACTCTGCCCTCAGCTGGGATGCTCATAGGTTAGGTGCAGTCCACACGTATTTTAACTCACTGTATTTCAACTTCGGTTGAGTTTATCACTGTAAACCCATCCCGAGGTGAGGAGTACATGCCCTCGAAGTCTCTGCCCCACTTCTGCCAAGTCCATCCTTGACGTTGAGAAACCTAACAGTCACCCGTTTAAAGATGGCTTTTCTCTCTTTCAGCAGTTTCTAAGATTCTCTTTTAGGGGCTGAGGGCATAGCCCAGCCAGTAAATTCTGTAGGCAAGGGACCCAGATTCCATTCCAAGGACTCATCATCATCACCACCAAAACCATCATCATCATCATCATCACCACCACCATCACCACCACCACCATCATCATCATCACCATCATCATCATCACCATTGTCACCATCATTACCATCACCACCATCTGTAGCTAGTGTTTTTCTCTCTGGGTCCCGCAGTCACGTAGCCCACTTATAAAATAAATACACCAACTCTTATATTATTTAAACTGCTCAGCCATTAGCTCAGGCCTACCATTGTCTAGCTGTTATACTCAGTCCATTTCTGTTAATCTGTATGTCGCCACATGTTCCATGGCTTTACCTGCTGCCTTTACATGCTGCTACCTGGATGGCAGGCTGGCATCTCCTCCCCTCTGCCTTCCTGTTCTCTCACTTCTCCTCTCTGCTAGTCCCACCTATACTTCCTGCCTAGCTACTGCCAATCAGTGTTTATCAATCAATCATCCACAGCAACCATCATCATCACCATCATCATCACCATCACCACCACCATCATCACCATCACCACCATCATCATCACCATCATCATCATCATCACCACCATCATCATCACCATCATCACCATCATCATCATCATCATCATCACCACAGCCATCATCACCATCATCATCATCATCATCATCATCACCATCATTGTCACCATCATTATCAAAGCTAGATGGACCAGGCACAGTGGCACACATTTAATTCCAGCACTCAGGAGGCAGAGGCAGGAGAATCTGTGAGTTCAAGACCAGCCTGGTCTACAGAGTGATTCCAGGTCAGCCAGGGCTACACAGACCCCATCTTAGAACAAACAGTAACAAAATCAACAAACAAGTAAAAACCAGGATGGAGGATGTAGCTCAGTGGCAGAGCACTCGCCTACCATGCACAAGGCCCTGGGTTCGATTCCCAGTTAAACACACACTCATACTTACTGCATACACACAGACACACACAGATACACACAGACACACACTCATGCCACACACACACACAGACAAACACACTCATACACACACAGACATAGACATACACATTCACACTACACACACAGACACACACACATACAGACAGACACATGTACACACACATAGGCATACACAGACACAGAAACACAAACACACACAGACGGGCACAATCACACAAAGACATACACATATAGACACACACACAGGCACATAACACATACACACACAGAGAGAGACACAGAGACACACCCACACGTGCCTGTGTGTGTAAGGGTCTCACTTTGTCACTGTGAGCCCCTGTTTCTGGTGGAAGCCTCTCTTTATTTTGTTGGACCTTGTGACTGTAAAAGTTGTGTCCTCAGTCAGTTCTGGAATATTCCACCTACTCCTCAAGCTGTGGTTGCTGCTTCTCCATATCTGCTCTCCACCTCTGGCTGGATCTTTGTCAGGGACACCTCACACGCTCCTCACTTTCATCTTAGAGGCTCGCCTTCCTCAGGGTCTCCTATTGGAGCTGGAAATGGAGCTCATGACCTGCCTGGCATGTGCAGGGTTTGGGGTTTGATCTTCAGTGCAACCAAAAATGTCTAATTTTGATCTGTGTGCCTGATGTGAGTTGAATGCATTTTTAATGTCACTTACTTTTTTCCCAAACGTGCTGTGAGGTCACCGCTGGACTCTGAGAACTCTGGCTCCTGTCTCTAGTCTCTGTGTTTTCATTTTATTTCAGTTCTTAGACAGAGGCTCATGATGCAGCCCAGGCTGGGCTTGAGTTCACTCTGTAACTCGGCTTCTAACTTACAGCCATCCTCCTGCCTCAGCCTCCTGAGCACCGAGGTGACAGCTTTGTGTCACTTTTAAATGTATGAAAAATATTTAATATTCTGTCTCTGCTGCAGCTGTGTGTGAACTCGCGTGCAAGTGTACATGTGCTCACAAGAGCACATATGTCTGCCTGCAATCCCAGCACTCTAGGCACTGAGGCAGGAGGACTATGAGTTCAAGGCCAGCCTGGGCTACATCACGAGACCCCAGTCTCACAAGAGTACTTCTTCGTCATGCGAAGTGAAAATAGCTTTCCCAGAAAACAAAGAAAGAAATCAAACTCTGGAGTGAGCTGTGGGAGGTGGGGGCTGGGGGCAGTTCTTGGGGTCAGCGTCCCCTTCTTCCTCCTCCCGCCCACAGCCGGAGCTACTGGACCTGTACACGGTGAACCTGCACCGCATTGAGAAAGACGTGCAGAGGTGTGACCGCAGCTACTGGTACTTCACAGCCACCAACCTGGAGAAGCTGAGGAACATCATGTGCAGGTGGGGGGGGGGACGGGGGAAGGGGAGAGAGAGGAAAGGGGGAGGAGGAGGGAGGTCAGCCCAGGAATGGAGATGAGATTGGGAGATAGGCGAGGCAAGATATAGGGAAAGGGAAGGAGGGCTGATGGAGGGAATGGGGATGAGAAGAAGGAGGGATGGGAGGATGAGAGGGATGTGTGAGAGATGGGGTGATGGGTGTGATGGAGGATGGGGGATGGGAAGACAGAAGAGAAGGGGGATAAGGGTGGATGATGTGGGGAAAGTGGGGGCTGTAGAAATCCAGCTGAAGCTTTGCCTCCTGTGGCTGATACTGATCTGGAGTTTTATTTTAGTCATAGTACCAGTAATAATATAGGACAAATCCAAAGTCAGGATCAGAGAGGGAACACTCATGCTTCTTGGTGCCCAGCTCCTTCTACACTAACAGGGTCCAGGATCCCCTGCCTGAGGAATGGCACCACCTACAGTGGGCTGGGTCTTCCTGTATCGATTAATGTATAACCAAGACAGTTGCCTGCCCTCCACTAGACAGGTCCACAGCCACCATGATGTAGACGACCCTCTACTAAGACTCCTTTCCCAACGTGACAGAACTATCGCACTGACTTTGGATGTGTCCTTTGACACTCTGTGCCTTGGTCTCCTCACCTGAGACTCACTTCACGTGGTCATTTTAAGATGTAAAGATTCAAGGTGCATACAAGGCTGAGGAGGTTTGTCCAGGCCCAACCGGTCAAAGCTATTATTCGCAGGGACTGATCCAAATTCCTGGCACCAGAGGGAACCGGTAGGGCAAATCCCTAGAGACTTTAATGAGTCAGTTATTTGTGCAAAGTGAATACCTCCACATAGCCAGAGAAGAGGCGCTGGAAGGGGATGTGTGAGGCTGGAGGAGGAGTTGAAGATACTGAACTCATGCACCCATGCGGCACCCCGGGGTGGCGGGGCACTTGCAGAGCCCTGTGCTCTGCGAGGCCCTCGTGGACAGGGTTACCCTGTGGGCTGCACCTAGGGTGTGTGGTAACACTGAGGGTGGGCATCAGGCTGAGGGATGGAGGACCAGATGGGAGAAAGGACAGGGAGGGTTTGGAAAAGCAGGCTGTGAGGGGGCAGGCTGTGTGGGGGTACATGCTGCATGGGGGTGCATGCTGCGTGAGGATGCATGCTGTGTGGGGATGCAGGCTATGTGGGGATGCAGGCTGTGTGGGGATGCATGCTGTGTGGGGATGCATGCTGCGTGGGGGTGCAGGCTGCGTGGGGATGCAGTCTGGGAGGGGGCAGGCTGCGTGGGGATGCAGGCTGCGTGGGGATGCAGGCTGCGTGGGGATGCAGGCTGTGGTGACCTCCTTGTGCCCTGTTTCTCCTGCAGCTACATCTGGCAGCACATTGAGATTGGCTATGTCCAGGGCATGTGTGACCTTCTGGCCCCACTGCTGGTCATCCTGGATGATGGTGAGTGTATCCCTCCTGCCCTACGGGAGAGGAAGGTTCAGCCTCCCCTGTGTCTCCGTGGACTGGGTCAGGACAGGTGCACAGCCTGGTGAACGCATCCCAAACCCAGTAGTAGCACGAGACATCCTTGTGTCCCACAGTGCACCACACTGAGGCCCAGCTGGCTGTTCTCAGGCAATGCTTGACCGTGAATAAGCACAAAGAAAAGCCTGGCCCAGATGGCTAGGGTCCCTGGTATGAGCTCTACCAAACAGTGTAAGATCAAAGAATAACTCTTCACAAGCTCGGAGGAGGAGGAGGAGGAGGAGGAGGAGGAGGAGGAGGAGAATCAACAAACACACTCAGTTCAACAAGATACAAAGATTTATACAGCATGCCCAAGCAGGGTTTATCCCAGAACCGCAAGGGCAGTTCAGTGTCTAAGCATCCATCCATATAAACTAGCACCTGACCATAAAAGCCGGGCAGGGTGTGGTAGCCATGCCTGTGGTCCCAGCCCTCGGGAGGTAGAGGCAAGAGGATGAGAGGTTCAAACTCATCCTTGACCAAGGTGAATTTAAGACAAGCATGGGCTACATGAGGCCTTGTCTTGAAATTTAAAAGGAAAAAAAAGGGGGGGGGGAGAAGAACTGGAAAGTAATTAAAATTATCTATGATGGGTCCTGGTCCTGGATGATTTAGGATGAAAATCCAAAGAATAAGAAAACAGAACACGTGGGTCCGTTGGGGCTGTAGAATGTAAGCAGAAATACTGTTTCTACACAGCTGAGCTGAACAATCCCAAGGTGAAGTTAAGATGAGTCCGTGTGTATCGCCTCCTGAAGAAGTGTCTCCAATGCCTCTGAAGGGCGTGGCTTATATATCTTACAATATCGAACACCACAAAACATTGTTGGTCAAAGGGGAAGAAACATAAAGGGTGGAGGACATCTCCCATCACAGCTGGAAGGCTTCGTGTTGGCGTTGGTGAGGAGCATTGTCCTCTGTACCGTGTACGGACTCAGGAAAGCCCTGTCAAAATGCCCGACTGCAGTGGCAGGATGGCTCAGTGGGTAAAGGCATTGACCTGAGTTTGATCCCTGGGGACTCACAGGGTGAAAGGAGAGAACACACACACTCACATACACACACACACACACACACACACACACACACACACACACAGAGACAGAGAGAGAGAGAGAGAGAGAGAGAGAGAGAGAGAGAGCGCTTTGGTGCCTCCACCAAGACCTGCAAGCCCGGAGTCCAGAAAGGAGCGTTCGCAGTCGACACTGCTGACTGAGTAGATTTCAGAGTCAGTTCAACTCCACGAGCTCAGTCCTTTCAAGGTACCAGCTGCTGCCGTGACAGGAAACACACGTGCAAAAGACGGAAGACCCCTGCCTCACGCGCCACACACGAGAAACTCACTTGAACTTGATCCCAGAAAGAACCAAAGTGGTAAAAAACTCCTAGAAGAAAACTTTCAGCTTGTGACTTTGCTGGGACAGTCGATGCCAAGAAATGAGACCAGCATCACTGATGTGAAATCTTCTGGAGACCGTTTACTTGTGGTCAGTAAGCAAAAACTGGTCCATGGGGGACCAAGGCTGGCAGCCAAACTTGTTAAGCTTACAAGTCTCCCAGGTCGTCCTGGTGTTGAAGGTGTAAAGGAGTCAGAGCAGTGGAGGCATGGCACTGTGAGAGACGGAAGTCAGCAACACGTCAGGGTGACCGTAATCCTGACAGGTGGACCAGGCGATGTACTGGCACCAGGGGTGATGGGCTGCCGGACTATAAAGACGTCCACAGTTTCTGTAATCTGTCCTGACCCTTTTTAAACCTGCGTGGGACCCATTGTCCATTGCCCTTGAGGAGTTTCCCAGTAACACCATTCTCCCCAGAGTTAGTAAGAGAAACCAGAAAAAACGACCAAGTGTTTCAAGTGCAACCTAGTATGACTCAAGTTTCTACACTGCAGGACTTCTCAGAGCCTTTGATGTCTGAGGTTCTGTTTATTTTTATTTTGCTGTATGAGTGGTTTGCCTGCATATGTGTCTGTGAGCCACGTGCCTACAGAGGAGGCCAGAAGAGGATGACTGAGCCCTCGGGACTGGAGTTACAGATGATTGTGAGCTGCCATGTGGGTGCTGGGAATCAAACCCGGGTCCTCTGGAGGAGCAGCCAGTGCTCTTAACCACCGAGCCATCTCTCTGGCCCCTACTGTCTTAATAAATGTAAAGAGATATTCTAAGCAGCATCTGCCAGAGGCGTTTGTTCTTCTTTACCTAGCACCAACCAAAGCCTTTGCTGTGTCCATGGTTGTTGTTGTTGTTTTTAAGTATTTATTTTTATTGTATATACATGGGTGTTTTGCCTGCATGTATGTCTGTGTGACGGTGTTGGGTTCCCTGGAACTAGAGTGACAGACAGTTGTGAGCCACCGTGTGAGTGCTGGGAATTGAACCTGGGACCTCAGAATTGAACCTGGGTCCTCTGGGAGAGCAGTCAGTGCCCTTAACCACTGAGCCATCTCCTCAGCCGCTCCCCCCCCGTCCCCAACAGTTGCTTTTGAGCACAGTGACTTCCAGACTTGAGAATTCCATCAACTGGGTAGAATTTCTGAAGGAAAGGATTATGGAGACCAGCAAGGCAGTGTGGGCTTCGTGTCACAACCAGTGGGGACCCTATCAGAGGAGTGTCTGTGTCTGAATAGAGGCTGTGCCTCCCCAGCGCCTCGGAGGCGAGATCTGTGACGCCCTGAGGGCGGTTGAGCATCCGAGAGAGTGGCCTCCACTGCGTCCTCTCTGCTCACCTCTGCTCCACACGGTGGTCTCTTCAGGAGCTCCAGTGCCTGAGGCCGTGGCCCCACTAACCCTCTGTCTTACACTGTCCCCAGAGGCCCTGGCCTTCAGCTGCTTCACGGAGCTCATGAAGAGGATGAACCAAAACTTCCCCCATGGAGGCGCCATGGACACGCACTTTGCCAACATGAGGTCCCTGATCCAGGTAGGACCCGGAGGCTTCCTGCTCTGGCTTTTGGGGAGACAGCGCGTGCAGCCGAATAATTTAAGATTGAGCCGTGTGCAGGCTGAGGGTGTGGTGCAGCGGCTAGAGTGCTTGCACGCTCAAACTCCTAGCTAATAGTGTGATTCCTCACGACTTCTTCAGGCATCCTTCCTTTGATTTTTATCCTCCTCCTTCTGTGTTTATCTCCCCCACCACCGTCCTTCCCGAATTGGAGGCCTCCATCTTCCCTACCCCCCTTCAGATCACGTGGACCCCTCTGTTCCCCTCTCTGCCTTTCCTGTTCTGCAATGACTCGACACCGTGGACTCGCATCTGGAGATTCGGAGCTAAGAGAGTCCGATGAAAGTGAACACACCATGTTTGTCTTTCTGAGTCTGGGTTACCTCACTCAATACGATCTTTTTCTAGTTCCATCCACTTAACCTTTGAAACTCATGGTTCCCTTTTCCTTTAGAGCCGAATCCTATTCCCCTGTGTGGATTAGCACTTTCTCACCCTCCGTTTGTCCGTTGAAGGACGTTAGGTTGCTTCCATCTCCTGGCCATTGTGAATAGAGGAACAGTGAGCTCTGGAGGAGGATGCTGAGGGCTTCATGCGTGTGCCAAGGAGTGCTAGAGCTGGGTCATACAGTTAGATGTGGTTTTAGCTGGTTGAGAGCTCTCCACACTGAGCTGGTTGAGAGCTCTCCACAGTGGCTGCACCCGTTTGCATCTCAAACCACCAACAGTGAGTGTGCCCCTCGCTACCCCGGCCAGCATTGGTTGTGGGTTATTCTGTCAATCTTGGCCACTTGGACTGGGGTCAGGTGAAATCTCAAAGTTGTTTTGATTTGCATGGCTTTAGCTGCCAATCAGAATCTACAAGAGGCAAGCCCAGCGGCCAGCTACGGGCTGAGCTCTGCAGGTAAATCCACGCAGGCTGGTACTCTTAAGTGCCGTAGGGAGAGCTCAAGCCCAAGGTGGCTCTTGCTGCTTTGGTGGGATTCAAAAAAAGGCACCAAATATTTTGGATACAAAAGGTTGGAGAAACAAGGTGACTTAGTGATTGCTGGACTATAGTTTGATCAGTTGAGCCCACAAGGTACAAGGAGATAGTTTGACACATTGTCCTCTGACCTACACACACACACACACACACACACACACACACACACACACACACACACACACACGAGAGAGAGAGAGAGAGAGAGAGAGAGAGAGAGAGAGAGA